AATTATTTAAACCATTGAGCTTGCCCTATGCATAATGCTAGACACATTTAGCAAATTTCATAAGATTGTTTAAGACTTAGACTATCTCAGAAGTTAAAGGCATATTGAGTTTTCATCGAAATTATTTACAAAATAAACGTTTGAAAAAGGGGTATGTTTTTTACTTATAAACAATTGTAATAACTTCTATATTTTTTAAGCTACAGACTTGTACGTACAACCATTGGATAGCTGGTAATAAAGCTCACAATAAAAAATAAAAAACCTATGACCAATAGGAACGAAGTTAGCGACTATTTTTAAAAAAATCATATCTCCATTGTTTATAAACATTAAGAAGTAAAATTTGCACAAATTTTGAATGAAAATCTAAACTTTATATTGAAAGTTATAGCTATAAAATGTATCTCTTTTTTTATAAATATTAATAACTACATAGTTTTCACTGGCCGGAAAATATGGGAAAACTCGGAAAAATTGAGTCTATTTGAAATTCACGCTAAATACTTACTTTTTTTAATTTGCTCGAATAGTCTGTCGCAGTATTAATAATGATGACATAATTTTCACCCCCATAAATCTCGGAAAATCCCGGAAAATCAACATATGTTTTTTCATTTTATATCAATGATGCTTACTGCTTTGATAAAATAAGTCGATTTTTTCATCACTTGCCTTATTACATTTTGCAATGTTTATTGAACTTTACTTTTTTTTATTTTCTTTACATACATTGGTTTAAAAGTTAAAATTTGGTTCATTTATTCGACTTCACTGTCAGCTCTGAACCTTTTTGTTGCACGTTGTTTGTCTTCACTTATTAAGCAAGTCTATACATATACTTCTTCAGAATCACTGTCGTCATCAAACGTAACTGTACCGAGGTTGCAGCATATTTTCTCCTCTTCTTCTTCCTCAGTACAATTTATACACAAGTTCGTACAATTTAAACCACGTTTTCTGCACCCACATCTAGTAGTTTTGCAACCTGTGGTGCATTTGCATGTAATATGCTTTAATGTCTCTTCGGGAATTAAATTATCCAAAGTATAAATTGGTTCAAAACCAGTGGCAGTTTGTCTCCAACCATAGGCACAAGCATCTAACTTATTACCTAACCACATTTGTAATTGATAGTAAACCCGAAGAACATGCTGTTTGGCTGCACCTTCAGTTGGTGGCAGAGTTTCTAGTTTAAAAGATGATTTACCGATATTTCTGTTAAATTGTAAGTATCTTAAATTATTTAAAGAAAGTGTATTGTTGTGTTTTTTTTTTATAATTTATATCAACTGCAGTAGAGTATAGAACCACAATCACCTCACAACCAATTTTCATTATATTTTCTTTACTTGCTCTGGAATCGTAGAAAATATCCATGAAACTAAGAGTTTCTTCGTTTGCATTGATTAATTTAAATTTCCCCTGATTATAGATTTATAGATTTTTTTAATATTAATGAAAGATCACAATATTGCAAGCTTATATACAACGACTATTTTAAAAATATATAAAGTTAAAATAAGCATAACCGTATTGCTAAAATCTGTAAGGACTTTTTATTTTATTAAGTTGAAATTTAATTATGATTATAAACAATAAAGTAAAAGCAATAAAAATAGTTCAAAACAAACGTTTAACTTGCATAACAATAATTTAGCCATTTATAAAACAAAACTTACAAAGGAAAATACTTACTATGATACTACTACTGCTGGAATAAGTTATTGCCACAGTCTGCTGTTTATTTTAAAATAATCTATATAATAAATAATAATAATAAATAATAAATAATATTTTTCACTAATTATACAAGTTGAAAATAATTAATTATTCATTCAATAGTTTTAAATATTACTTACAATTTTCAATCAAAAAGTAATTAAATACGTTTAGTTAAAACTTTTTTGTTAAGCAAAAACACACACAAAATAATTTACTCAAAAATTATTGCTAAATAAGTATATTGCTTTCTAAAGCCACCACACTGAGACTGACGAAATTTTGCAGCGATGTGCTAAGACAGTTTCCCCTCCACTTTCCTATGTAGATCTTTCGAAAGTAACTTTATTTCAAAAGGCTTTAAATTTCGAAAAATTAAATGAATTTTATAGCTATAAAATTCAATATTAAGTTTAGATTTTCATTCAATATTTGTGCAAATTTTACTTCTTAATGTTTATAAACAACGGAGATATAATTAACAAAAAAATTGTCGCTAACTTCGTTCCTATTGTTCATAGAAGGTTAATTTTTTTTGTTAAATGTGAGTTTTTTTACCAGCTACACAATGGTTGTACGTACAAGTATGTAGCTTGAAAAATAAAGAAGTTATTACAATTGTTTATAAGTAAAAAACATACCCCTTTTTCAAACGTTTATTTTGTAAATAATTTCGATGAAAACTCAATATGCATTTAACTTCTGAAATAGTATAAGTCTTAAAGAATCCTATGAAATTTGTTAAATGTGTCTAGTGTCATTCATAGGGCAAGCTCAATGGTTTAAATAATTAGTCCCAGGGATAAACAAATTGAATAACTTTTAAACTATTTGACCGATCGGGGTGAAATTTCGCACAAATTTAAAGGACGGTAATTCCTCCATGTTAAAATGTATTAATAACATTTTATTTTGTTAATAAAAAAATTAATTAAATTTATAAATTAGTGCAAAAAAACTGCTTTCTGACAAATATCTCCGCAAATTATAAATCAATTTTAATTGAAAAAACGGGAAAATAAAGATATTCTTGATATAAAAAAAATGGTATAAATATTGTTTATTTAAATTATAAGGGAAAAAACTTATAGATAAAAAATCAAATTTTGACCATAAATTGTTGTTTAAAAAAAATGCAACGCAAAACTAGGAGTATCTTTTTATCTATTCGTCATCTAGTAACCCCCACCTATGTCTTAAAAGCTTCAAATATCTGCGAAACATTTTGCCGTGAAATCGATGATTTTTGTATAACCAGACTGGGCTACAAGAGCTCTAGTTTCCGTAGGAAGCATTTTCGGACTAGGTGAATTGGATTAAATTGTCTTACGATTATCTGAGGAATCTCTGGTCTTAGTTTACTAGGAGAGTTTCTGGACCCTCTGTATATACATATAATAATAAATTATTAATATTAAAGAGATTAATTAACTGAGTAATCAAGCAATATAACGGTATGTCCTTTTTTAAAATCCAATTAAAATTGATGTATCTATACACGAGGAAAAAAACTTTGTGTTCGTAGACATTTTTGACGTGTATATTTCATGCTGTCGCATTTTTTTATGAACGACTAATACCTATCTGTAATATTAAAAATTGGGTTGATGACGCTTCTTAAAATTATGAGCGATACGAGGAGGGTTGAAACAGTAACGTTATTTAAATATTAAATTAAAATCGTTGGTCATTTTACACTGTTAAAAGAGTTCTATGCACAGATCTATGAAACAAATTTTAACCATTTTACACTGTCACTATTATGATTTGTGCAAATTAGTTTTAATGTCACCATATGCCACAAGAATTGAAATATTAACAATATTTTGTAATTTGTTAAAAGTCTGTTAGATTTTACTCAAAAAATATATCCCATATGTTATAATGATATCCGATAACACGCTGTGCACAATACATTTAAGTGATGATACGATTTTTGTAGTAAGTCATACAGATGAGTCAGTAGGTTTATTACTGTATACAACATAAAGAACGTTACCCAACGTATAAAATGTTATCAAAGCGACAGTCAAAAAGCAACAGGTTGTTTGCTTAACTCCATATTTACACAAACCGCACCCATGCAACATGGCGTCGTTTTATATCTCATTGAAGAGCTAATAAACAAATCTATAAATTTAGATAAAATACAGATAATGTTGTGTTTTTGTTTTACGCAAACCATGTATGATATAAATCTCAATTTCTATGGAAAATGTTTTACTGGGAAATATGAATACATCTGATGATAAAATATATTTTAAGTAAAAAAAAAAACATAAAATTCAATTGGCAGTTTTTAATATTCTTTGTTTCTTTATTGTAAACGATACATTGTATACCAAATTCTGCTTAATCGTATTCACGAAGTAGGAGAGGAAATGGACATAAAAATAAACTCAAAACCAAATTTTTAGTGTTTAGTCGTAACCCACATCCCGATGCAAAGCTCACAAGTTCACAAAATTACATATTTGGGAACTGTGATAACGGACCAAAGAGATCCAGACATAGAAATAAAATGTAGAATAGGAATTATTAAAACTACTTTTATGAAAATAAAGTCATTTCTTTGCAATAATTATATCAGTTTAGAACTAAGACAATAACTGGTTAAGTGTTATGATATGGTACGCGAAGAAGAAGAATTGATAAATTCTATAGTTTATTCGTCTTCCGGGTTTGGACCGTGTCATTTGTGAGTGACCCAAAAGTGGGTTCATCTAGAGATGAACCCACAAAGACAAATAACCTATAATTCTGACTCTGTCCGTGGAAGCCTACAATTTCACGATAAATTTTATTTATGAGGACCAATATTTTGAGACTACTTAGTTCGTCATATCATGGTAACCCCCAACTACTTTTCGAGAGAACTAATGTGACATGTTGTTGAACGGACTAGATCAGAAGTACTCCAGAAAAATATTATAAAATGAGCAAACCTGCAATAACCTCCCCAAAACATTGTTACTGTGGAAATTAGAACACGAGGATCAATATTGCAATGATTTCCAAGAACTACCTATACAAATTGTTTCTACAGTAGTAGACTTATTAAAGCTCTCATTAGTTATTTTGTTAGCACTTACTTAGTTTTTTTTAATATAACTTAAAACCATAAAATCAGCTCAAACATACATAGTGGTCAATATAATAAAAAAGCCATATTATATTACATAGGAGATTGAGATTTACATCTTTAAGCAAATTCCTTAAGCATTTATATGAAAAAGCGTTAGTAAGCATTGCAGGCTAACTAAATTATACTAACTAACCGTAATCTGCAGCATAAAATGTCGAATATTTGCCCAGTTTGTTAACAGTCTGATAAGTCCGTCTGGGATTTTTAGTCACATTTACCAAACTATTGCTTATATTAACTAGGGATTTATCTACTTCTATAACAAAAATAAGAAAATGTTTTTGTAGTTAGTGTTACTCTAAAATCTATATTTTGTAAAAAATACTTAGTGATCAAACATGGGATTACTATCAAACTTCAAGTATTTACACGACCATATTATAGACAATTTGTACAATTTATACACACATACTCACATATTACGGAAGACAACCGTTCATTTTTGTTTCTGATAAGGAGGTCAATGACTGTTTTTTAGTTTTAATGGGTCTTACACTAGAGCGTCTCTCCCTTTCTCTCTAGTCATTTCCTCATTTTATATTTCCTATTATTACTTCCTGCATCCTTGAGCGTTTCTCGACATTATAAGTCTCTTAAAGTTATCATTCCTTCGTCATGTCCAAAAAACTTTAAGATGTGTGCCAGAAAAATAGAGGAGAGTTGAAACTGAATGTTAAGCTCTTGTAAGATTGAGTGATTATTTCTGTTCTCTCTCCATGAGATCCGAAGTATTCTTTACCAGCACCACATCTAGAAAGCGTCAATTCTTTTCCTATCGTGCGATTCATCTCTGCTTTCATAATTCCCATTATGTAATGAGAGTAGGTATACTCACTTCAATGGGCATAATATTCAAAGCCTTTTAAAAGCAAAAAATAAAAAAGGTTTATTTCAGTGGTGATTGGACATGTCAATAAAAAGAGAACTAAATTATGGATATACCATACCATCAAAGTTTAAACCTGCATCTTTTTTGACCTTACTTGCGTAACCAGGGGAAATCATGGAACTCCCCATAAGAAATTTGATGACTTTTATGATTTCTATCTAGAGCACAGATCTTCTTGGTGGTGTTTAACGTAAGCGAAATTTAGGATACAATGGTCTCCTGATCATTTACCAGGGATACACAAACAAATAAAAACAAAACAAAAAACAACAGAATGGGAATATTTTTTATCTGGGAATATACATAAACTCTGAGTCTGATCTATAGATTAACACCTATATAAGAATTGAACTAGTTGAAACAGCAGTTTTAAGATTTATATTTGTATTTAAGAACAGAAATGCTAGTTCTCCTTCTTCTTCTTCTTCTTCTTCTTCTTCTTCTTCTTCTTCTTCTTCTTCTTCTTCTTCTTCTTCTTCTTCTTCAAGTGCCGTCTTCGTTCCGAAGTTTGGCTATCATCAAAGCTATGCGTATTTTTGATGCTGCAGATCTAAACAGTTGGTAATTGGTGCAATTGTACCATTCTCTCAAGTTTTTCAACCATGAATGCCTTCTTCTTCCTATAGATCTCTTTCCCATTATCTTTTCCTGTATAATCAATTGCAGCAACTGATATTTATCTCCCCTCATAACATGTCCCAAATATTGTAGTTTGCGCTTTTTAAAAGTAAGTATCAGCTCTTTCTCTTTCCGCACTCTCCGCAAAACCTCCACATTTGTTACTTTCTCTGTCCAGGTTATTCTTAATATTCTACGATACATCCACAACTCAAATGCTTCTATCTTTTTGGTATCGATCTTTTTCAATGTCCATGTTTCCATCCCGTAGAGGAGAACTGACATAACGTAACATCTCAAAAGGCGAATTTTAAGTTTTAGACTTAGATCTCTTCCGCAGAACACCTTTTTCAATTTAGTAAATGTGGCTCTAGCTTTCTCTATTCTGGTTCTGATTTCTTCAGAGCAATCATTATTTTCGTTGATAACAGTTCCCAGGTAATTATATCTTCTTACACGTTCGATTCTTTGATCATGCACGGTTATGTCAGGGAAGTTTTGTGGTGATTTAGATATTAGCATTATTTTTGTTTTGCTTATGTTAAGTGATAATCCGTGTTCTTCACTGCATTCTACTATTTTGTTAATTAGTATTTGAAGATCTTCCCAAGTTTCTGCGATTAGTACCGTGTCATCGGCATATCTCAAGTTGTTTATTCGGATGCCATTTATCTTAATACCTATATTTTGATCCGAAAATGCTGTGTTTATAATGTCTTCGGAGTATAGATTGAATAAGGTCGGTGAGAGTATACAACCCTGTCTTACTGTAGCCATTCCTTTGGTATTTCTCTTCTTTTGTAGATGCAGTTAAAAAGGTCGAGTAGAATATTCACTGATTCGCCTTCCACAAGCTTAAGAAGTTTTGATGTGAGCCCGTCTGGACCCGGTGATTTACCATTTTTCATTATTTTTATAGCGTATAATAGTTCTTCTTTAGTTATTTCTGGTCCTTCGTCGCCTTGCAAGTTATCTATATTAGGTTCTTGTCTTTCATCGTCGAACAATTCTTCTACATAATTCTCTCCTTCTTAGGTTAAGTTAATTAAGTTTCACTCTTCCTTCATATTATATGATTAAAAATATATGTACTCAAAGAACAGAACACTACAAGAACATTTGGATTAAAATGATTTAATTAGAAAGGTTGGCTTGTAGGCATATTAAAAATATATAAAGTTCATGACAGTATAATTACAATGTGGAAGATATCCCAATTACCCGGCCCTTTTCCAGAGAGACTCGCTGAGTCTACTTTGGTTATGTTGAACCCACTATTTCAGCTACTGAACTCCACTGACTTAGATTTTAGCATAAAAAATATCAATACTGTTGTGGTGAAACTTTACCATCTGCTGTATATGTTTGATATGAAATGAATGGCTTACAGTCGAAACTACCTGGATTAGATTCTGAAAACTTTGAAAATATTCTTAAATGATCAGTATGTATTTTGGACTAGACAATTGCCGTGTTATAAATATAGTCAAAGGAAAGGTTCAGTTTAGAAGTTACGATATGCAAGAAAGCCGAAACATCGAGGCAATGGGTGAAAATGATATATACAAATATCTCGGAGTAAAGCAAGAGTAAAGAAAATTGACCATAAACTAATGAAAATCGAAGTAACTTCTGAGTTTGCGTGAAGAGTAAGACCGCTAAATCGGTCATATCTTAATCGTTAAAATATGTTTAAGAAGGCAATAAATACGTGCGCCCATTTCGCGTTTATTTGGTATTATGAAGTAGTCAAAAACGGATATGGAAAATCTTCAGAGGAAAGTAAAAACACTTCTCACAAAGGCGCTAAAATACCATCCACGGAGTGTACTATAGAGAACAACAATATCGCTGTATTGGGGAGGAGAGGATTTATGGACATAGGTGAGCAACATGATTAATAGGTTGCCAATTTGAGAATCTATTTTTAAATATAGGCTGATACATCTACTTTACATCGAACAATTTAAGCAGTAGATGACACAACACTGCTCAAATTGAGGGAACAAGAAATGCGTATAGACTATCTGACTAAGCATAAAAATATACACACCTGGATGAGTAAACCTCTACATGGGCAACATATACAAACTATTGGTTGACATCAGGAAATATGTTTCCCGAGACAGTGAATTTTCTACTTGCCATTCACTATCAGGTTATTCCAAATATAAATTACCTGAAATATATTGTCAAAGACCCTCAGATTCAAAACGATAAATGACGATATGCATATCAAGTCCTAGAAACCATTATATTTAAATAAAATTATAACACTAACAGAAGAAAAACAAAGTTTTAGGTCGGGAAGATGATGTATCGACGCTATATTTAATAAGGCAAATGCAAGAGAAATCTTACACTACAACAGACTGGCATATGTATGTTTCGTGGACCTTAAGAAGATATTTGATCGGGTTAAATTAAAGGATGTTATCCATTTATTGGACGCTAGAGACATACCTATAGGAATAATCAAAACGATCTAAAATAGTTTTTTCTAACAGTCATTTCTAACCAGACACACACCAAAAAAAGAAACCTATATACTGTCTGCATTAACTATGGAAAGGTCTTTAATTCAGTGCCACCGATGTGTTTTAGTGTTTGTCGGAACAGATAAGTAGGAAAGATTATTCACCAAGAACTAACTAGTACACTGAGATTTCTCCAAACCTACCATCGTCTTTATTATCAAAACGTCTTTGACAGAACGCTTGAAAAAGACAATTACAAGATATAGTGGGACCGCAGTGTGCTCACAGATCAACCAGTGACACATAATAGACCGGATCTAATACTAGTTAATACACTTACTAGATAGACAATACTAATATATGTGGCTATACTTAACAATAATAATCTTCGTGTTAAATAAAACCAAAAGATCGCCAAGTACAAAAATCTAGAAATATAAATAAGGAGGCGACTGGGAATGAAAAGTACATAGACGATACATAATATGCTCTCTGCTACTGGACTTAGTCCGAAGAGCCTCTTAGAGAACATAAAAAAGCTAAGGATCTCTATAAGATCATGCAGAAAGCGATCCTATTCTTCACATCCAGATGCGTAAGTAAAGTCTTTTGAGGTACTCTAGAAAGCAGTATGGCTTAAATCTAAATAACAATATTATATCGAAAGTATTCAGATGACACCTATCATTCTCTCTTCTGGTGCTATTTTAAGAACACCTCCTAAAAATATAAAACAGCTAGTAACGATCTCTAGAATTGCAGATTGCAGAATGTAAAAATATATTTGGGGAAAGCTTCGACGTATCAGGCCATCTAGAGCTCGAGAACATGGAAATAATCCTCCAGAGCTAAATACTTTTAATACTGGTCCTATCTGAGATGAGTGAACTCTCCAAAAGAAGGAAGTAAGAGCCGTCTATCTTAGATATGGATAGTCTAATAATAGAGTAATATAATAATAATAACTCTCTTTTGTCATCTTTATCATGATAACAAAGGATATAAAATAGAAAATATTTACTTATACTGGTAGAACAAAAGGATACTTCCTACACCTTCTAACAGAGATGCGAGACTAAAAAAACTGTTTTACAGCTAGTAATCATCATTTATGATGATGTTGGCTTTAAAGAGTATGTGTGTACGTACCAGTACTCATCTAATTATCCTTTAATCTGTCTATAGTCGATTATGGCATTTTTGACATTTTTTTTTTCAAATTATTTTCGACCGTACTGTATTAAATATTGATTTATATTATCAACAATCGGTCTATATACTTATGGCAGAAAAAAATGAAAACCCAGCATGGATCAGAAACAATTTTAGCCCCACAAATTGACTAGGTTAAAACATACAATGGTTTGTGATTAGAAAACATGCACTACACATGCGATATGTATTTTTTACAAACTATAGATGTACAACAAAATTGTTAGATTACTGACTATTCATGCAACTACACGAAGTGTGGAATATGATTATTAGTGTCTTTATTTTTTATTTAATTACTATTTAATATTATTACTTAAACTATTAAGTATTTATAAAATAATAATATTTATGTTTAAGAGACATAGAGCAGAATGCTGTCTTATTTGGCAGTTGCTTTGTAGAAATGTTCTAGTTAAATCAGCCCCATCAACCATTTGAGAAGAACTACAATATATAAAATAAAGATGACATCATTAACTAAAAATATATCTCTTTCTAATAAAACATGGACAATCTTTGTAAAAAATAGATAAAGTGATAATATCTATACGATCAAATGACGCCAGAGTATGGTATGTCGTTCACATATTATCATATGGGTATCATACATATTAGAATTTATAGCAATTTCAAATAAGGTAAAGACGAATGAATGAAACACCGCGCACAATTATTACGGTAATTACTTACAACTGATGCTATTAAGGACATGACTTACCACAGGAGTGGACAAAAGTACATACTAACAATAACTACAAAAAAGAGATAAAAAAGAATTGTTCAAACTACAGGGTTTTAAGTGTCATAAATGAATTCACAAGACTATATTAAAAAATAATAAAAAATAAACCTAAGACGTGGCAGATGTAGAAGAACAAAATGACTTTCGTGAAAGTAGATCCTTATGGACATCATATTTTCTGTAAAGCTGGTTATTGAAAAAAAAAGCTCGCAACCTTTTAACTCGTATAGTCTTCATAAATCTGACAAAGGCATACCATAGTATACCACTTTCAATGTTCTGGGTAGCAATGAAAAAACAATATATATAAGAAGTACAACAGCTTTACAAAACAACGGTTAAGACCATAAAAATGAACCATTGATAGAGTGAGGAACAAAGATATTCGGAGAGAAATGAAAATTGATCTAGACATAATGGAAACAACTAAAGTCAAAAGATTCAACTGGTATGGACACCTGCAAAGAATGTCTGAAAATTGATGGCCAAAACTTCGCCCACTAGAAGAATATGAAGTAGACCAAGACGATCCTGAAGAGAATATGTCGAATTTGCAATGACCATCAGATATTTAAAAACTGAATATTGCTTCGACAGAAAACGCTGGAAAATAGGATGAATGAAACAAAGCCGCCATATGTAGAAGACTTATCTACGGTTCAATAACTAAGTAGCTTTCGTTACGTGTGTGAAAATTGTCAGATATATGTATGATTGAGTAATAACTACTGGTCAGGTTGGAGAGAGAATGATTAATTTAATATAAAAGGAAATATAATAGTATACAAATGTCAAAGTAAATTCTTTTATCCTGTTGGTATGCTTCTTTTATGATGTTTATAGAAAATATTGAAAGAAAGAACAAAGACCAGAACAGTAGAGAAAAACTCTTGAATAAGAGTGTAGGCTTAGCGCAGAGATGCTTAGATATTAATCAGGAAGTATATGCCTGTTTCATTGATTTTGAGAAGGCATTTGACAGAGTGCCGCATAATCGACTTAAAGAAATTTTATTAAATAAAAACATAGACAGTAGAGACATTAGAATCATCTGTAACCTCTATTGGAATCAAACAGCAAAAGTGAAAGTTGAAAACGAACTGACCAAGGATATCCAGATTCGCCGTGTGGTCCGCCAAGTGTGTATTTTATCACTCTTGTTATTCAATTTATACAGTGAAGCCATCTCAGAATTAGCGCTTGCCGAGATCAGTGAGGGCCTTATAATAAACGGTGAGCCACTTAATAACATAAGATATGCTGACGACACCGTCCTTCTGGCAGGAACACTAGAAGAACTGCAACACCTTGCTGAACAACTAAATATATATTGCAATAATTATGGACTAAAAATGAATTTGAAGAAAACCAAGTTCATGGTATTTACAAAAGCACAAAACATCAAAGTTAAGCTAGTACTAGATAATACAGAAATTGAACAAATATCTTCGTACAAATACCTTGGAGCATGGATCACAGAAGATACTGCTCAGACAAAAGAAATAAGATGCCGCATTGAAATTGCGCGGTCAACTTTTAATAGAATGAGAAAACTTTTTTGTAATCGCGATATCAATATATCGCTCCGGATAAGAATGCTTCGATGTTATATTTTCTCTACCCTTTTTGTATGGAGTTGAAGCTTGGACACTTAAAAAATCCAACATTAAAAACCTAGAAGCATTCGAAATGTGGTGTTACCGACGTATTTTGAAAATATCATGGATGGATCGCAAAACAAACGAACAAGTTCTCGAACAACAAGGAAAACAATGCAAAGTGTTAAATTCCATAAAAATCAGGAAATTGGAATACTTGGCGCACATAATGAGAGGTGAAAAGTACGAACTACTAAGGAATATAATGCAGGGTAAAATCAACGGTAGAAGAAGCGTAGGAAGACGTAAAATCTCGTGGCTACGCAATCTCCGTGAATGGTTTGGATGCAGTTCAATTGAACTATTCAGGCGAGTAATCAATAAAATTATAATTGCCAGAATGATTTCCAATCTCCGATAGGAGTGGAACTTGAAGAAGAAGAAGAGTGTTTAAAGACACTTCTTCTTATTGAGCCGTTTTCTAAGGTTGGCGATCACTTCTTTAAACGCTTCCCTATCTTTTGCAACGTAAAATATTTGTTTATTACTAAAGTTGGTCCAAACTCTGATATTCCTCAGCCAAGATTTCTTCACAAGCCTTTTCTTCCCTTCACTCTTCCTTGCATGATAACGTGTAGAAGAGAGTATCGTTTGGAAGTATGTGGCTCAGATATGATGTTTTCCTTATTGTAATTTTGTTCTAATGATCTTTCTAATGTCTCCAATTTTTTTAGGCTCCAAGATTCTACCCCATATAGCAGTAGTGACCATTAATAACATTCCACGAACCTTAAACTGATAACAATTTCAGTAAGAATTTTTTATTTGTAAACATTGACTTGTATTTTATAAATTCTTTTTAAGCTATTTCAATTTTGACCTTTAGCTCATCATCTTGATCTAGCTATGAGTTTATAATTGGTCCGAGGTCGATCCTCTCTAACGGTTTACCTTTCAAAGTCAGATGTATGTTGTCAACAAAGGTCTTCAAAATTACCATGTATTTGGTTTTATCTATATTCATTGTGGGATGGTCCCTCCAACCCTAATACCGCTGTTTGATTCTGTTATAGATTTTTGATTAAACTAATATCCTTAGGATCTAGCTGTATGTGTTTTAATGCATCTATGAGTTAATGCATCTATCTCGTAAAGCGTTAATACTATACTGCTAAAAATCAGATGTAATTATGGATGGTGAAATAGTTGGCAAATGTGCTAGATTCAGCTACCTGTAGTAGAGTTATTGTACGATGTATGAAATAAAAGGAAGCGACTGACAGACAGATTACAATGAAACCACAAATTCAGTACAATAACAGTCTTAGAAGATTAATAAATAACAAATAATAAATGTATGTTGCGGAAATGAAGAATTCAAGTCTAGATAAATAGATAATGAAGTAACAATAATGACACAATGACAGTATTAAATTTTGATTCGATACAGAGCAGCTACAAGCCGCATAAACGTATTTCGACCTCTTCAGGTCTCCTCAGTACGGTATAGCAACTACTCCGTGCTGAGTATTGCACGCAGTGCCTTACTATACCGTACTGAGGAGACCTAAAGAGGTCGAAATACGTATATGCGGCTTGTAGCTGCTCTGTATCGAATCAAAATCTAATACCGTCATTGTGTTTTATTTCTTTACTTCGTTTGGAGTACCAGAAATCGAATTCACTACGAATATTGGCCATGATCAACGGCATTTGGAGTGCAATTTTAGATTCTCTTGCCGATTTATTCATCAAGCTGTTTGCTTCGCAAGTTTTAGGAAGCACGGTGGCTTATATTTGAATTCAATTTCGCCAGGTAGAAATCGTATTTCTCTTTTTGTTAACAATAAAGAATTTAATGAATTTATCAGAGGAAATTTAGGTGTGGCACTATTGATGACAAAATGAGAAACCGTAATCGCCCAATACAAAGAATCGCAGAGTTGCAAATTCCTAGAAAAAGTAGGAGAGAATGAACAAAGAAATTCTGATTGAAGATCTTTAGACAAGATGCGTCTCTAGATTATGTGACTAATATTGGTGTGGCCCAAGGAGTTTTACCTTGTTGTATTTATTAAAAATGTACAATACTCTCGTTTTTGCTACGTATATTGACTACATAAGTCTACATAAATGAATTATTTCCAAAAAAATAAATTATTTTATTTAAAATTTAGTTAAGGAAAAAGCTAATACATTTCGTAATCATATTCCACACATATTACTTTACTTGACGTTAATGTATTACCCGATATATACTTACCATAGTTTGGATTCACTGGAGACACCCCATTAGGTGTATCCTCCACCGGAATAGGTTTCCCAAAATCTGGCTCCGCATTACTTACATTGGTTTCGATAGTTTCTACATCTGGTGGAAGTCCATCATCTTGTCCTTTAATACTAACACTAAACAAAACAAAAATAACAAAGTACTTTAACCACATTTTGGTTAATTGGCACTACAAACTGGCGCACTACTGATGAGCGCAACATAAAGATCACATCAAAAAAGGTAGCTACGGTTAGTAAAGTTCGTACTCGAGTGTTTGCAAGAATTGCTAGAACGAGATAATACTCTTATCTTTTAATGACACATTTAATGAAATAAGGATAAATACACTGAGTTATATGATAGAAATTTTCTTATCTAAGATAAGGGGATAGTAAACCGTATAGCAGGTAGGCTAAATTCACCTACGCGAGATACGAATTTCAAGAATATTGTTTTTCATTATACCAAAAAATATAGGTACTGTAATGTTTATTTTCTTAGTCATTTAGTTCTAAGAAAGAAACCTGTTATTCATTTAAAAGAAAAATTATTAGCATGTAAACAATAGCTCACTACCAGAAGTCTAAAATAAAGACAATCATACGCCAAATTGAGAAGTGTAACCAAAAAACAAATGTAAATATTCTTCGCTTTCTTGACGACCACTACTTTTGAATATTTATTTTAAAGGATAACAATTTCTACAGTTAAATATTTATTGAAAAACTTGTTATAAACAGCACAATAACTTTAAATATAAACAGGAGAGTCCTATGCCCATCAGTGGATTTAAAAAAGCTGATGATCATAATGTTTCTACAGTCTCAGTTATCCTCGAACCTTGCTACCCATTCTTCCAATTAAATTTATAATATACGAAATTTGAGTTGCAACTTCACCTGTGGTAAGAGGGTTGACAGGGTTAATAGAGTGCCTCATAAACCATCATTACTATTGCATGTCTCAAGCCCAGATAAAGGAGGAGGGTTCCTAGGTAAAGTTAGTTCTTGCCTAATAGTTTAGTAATAGTTTCGGATATCGAACGGATCAGTCCAATGACTGGACCTCTGATATGGAACAAATATGATATTCCTATAATATGCTATATACATACACTTAATATTTACAAACAATACATAAGTATTATATCTAAAATATATACACAATTACGGTGAAGTTAGAACACTTTTATAAATCAAGTCTAATGGATTTTTACGTTATAGTCTTTGAGCTTCTTGATGATTTTCAAGCAAGTTTATTGCCAGTCCATTTGAATTGTTTTCTAAACGTTTTAGGTACCCAGATATCACAACAAATATCTTTGTTTGGTATGAACCATTGGGCGGCTGTTAAGGAAAGTAATACTTTAGATTGAAATCTTTTCATTATGGATAGTTGGATTTTGCTGTTTTATCCCATAGCTGGATTGCATAGTTCCAGACCAGTTTCTGTATTGTAATGTATATCAACAGTTTGTTACAAATAGACAACTTCGATGTTTTGCCCAGTATTCAATAATGTTTACGAAATTTTAAGTTTAACTGTTGGCGCTTTTTCCATATATGGGTTCTCCATGTCAAAATTTTGTTCAGGTGCATTTCAAGGTATTTTGCGCTTTCAGCTTATGAAATTGCTTTGTTAGTTATTTCTATGCTAGGCGATTTATTGCGACACTTTGTAAAGAGGATATGTTGTGATTTAGATTCATTTATCTTTATGCGCTATCTTTATCTATTTTTCCACTTTTCAATGTCCCTAATAAGCATTTGAAGAGATTCGGTAGCTGTTGCAGGATTATTATCTGCGACTAACATAGCAGTATCGTCTGCTAATGTTGTAGTCATTATATTTTCATTTGGTGGTATGTCGTTGGTAAATATCAAATATAATGTAGGATCCAGAACATTACCTTGAGGGACTTCAAATCATATAGGCTAGATTTTTAATGTTTCTGATTCATACCTAATACGCGGTAGTATCTTTCTTCTAAATATAATTTTAGTAAAGTAAACATTGACTATGAAACGTTTATTTTTATTTTGAAAAGCAACCCTTTATGCAAACCTTTATCAAAAGCCTGACTGACGCCAGGAAAGAATACAGGGCAGTACTTTTTTCCTCAAAAGTTTTATTCACTATATTAACAAGTCTATTTAGGTGTTATATTGTTGAATGTTTCTCTTCTTCTTCCTATGCCGTCCCCATTAACGGAGGTTGGCGACCACATTTTTAAAAGCTTCTCTGTCTTTTGCAACGTGGAATAATTCGTCTACAGTCATGTTTGTCCAGTCTCGAATATTTCGCAGCCATGACTTCCTCTTTCTACCTATTCCCTTTTTGCCATCGACCCTACCCTGCATGATGACCTGCAGAAGACTATATTTATTATTTCTTAGTATGTGTCCAAGGTATGCAGTCTTGCGTACTTTTATCGTTCCCAACAATTTTTTGACTCGACCCATTCTTCTCAGCACTTCCTCATTGGTGACCCTGGCAGTCCATGGGATTCTCAACATTCTCCGGTATATCCAAAGTTCAAAGGCTTCAATCTTTTTAACTATTTGCGCTTTTAGTGTCCATGTTTCTACCCCGTACAATAATTGCGACCAGACGTAACATTCAACAAACCTCAGTCTCAGCGCAATATTCAGATTTTTGTCACAGAACAATTGTTTGAATTTTAAGAACGCTGCCCTTGCCATTTCTATTTGTACCCGGATCTCTTGGTCTGGATCTAATTCTGTGTTGATGTAAGCTCCCAGATATTTATATTTTGTCACTCTTTCTATTTGCTGTCCACCAAGAGTTAGTTGTTCATTATTTATTGGACTCCTTGATACTATCATAAATTTGGTCTTATCTGTGTTGATGTCAAGTCCCATTTGAATGCATTCACTATTTATTGCATCTAGTAAAGTTTGTAGATCTTCTATACTCTCAGCCATAATTACCGTGTCATCTGCAAATCTCATGGTGTTTATGATTTCTCCACCAATTCTTATTCCCTCTTTTCTTTCCCATAAGGCTTTTCTGAATATGACCTGTGAGTACACGTTGAAAAGCGTCGGAGACAAGACGCATCCTTGCCTAACCCCTCTCGCAATCGGTATATTATTTGTTTCTATATCGTTCACCTTTACTACTGCTTTCTGGTTCCAGTATATAGCCTTAATAAACTCAATGTCTTTTTTGTCTAAATTGATGTTTTTTAATTCATCTATTAACTTTATATGCTGCACTCGGTCAAAGGCATTCCTAAAGTCTATGAAGCATACATATGCACTCTTGTTATATTCCCGACATTTCTGCAAGAGTACCGTCAACGCAAATAATGCCTCTCTTGTACCCATGCCTCCTCTGAAGCCAAACTAAGTTTCATATATCTGTTCCTCACATTTCTTATAAATTCGGTTTTGAACAATTTTCAAAAGAATCTTTAAAGGGTGGCACATTAGATTTATCATGTTTCTCTATGAAACCAAAATGATGATCCGGGAAAATATTATTAGCAGTAGGGGAGTGTTGGCTAAAACAGGAAATAAGTGGCGCCATCTAATAACCGGGGATGTTAATCACTACAGATACCGTCTATTTGAACGTAGCAGGAGGTTACTCTCATTAATTGTTGATATGTGGTTTGTGGCAAATGCTAGTTTGAAAAAGTAAGGTTATGCTAATTAGTTTCATCCGTAGGTAGTTAAGAATTATTAAGTTTAAGTCAACAAAATAAATAGCAGTGAGTATTTTTTATGTTTCTCTATGTAATATGAGTGTGTTTTGCGATATTTGTGATTACGATAACTTTTTTTTTGTTGAAAATTTTCAATAGTAATACCACTAGTAATTCAATTTTCGCGATAAGTCTGTTAATTTACTTCTAAACGAAACTGAGTTGCTTGAAAACACCACGAGTCCGTAGGACGAGTAACACGAAGCTGATAGACCAATCAGAATTGAAAGACAGTTGGTGTTGTCAAAACAATATTCAGTGTTTAGTTGGGTAAAATGGGATATCGAGTGGTTGGGTAAAACTGGATACTATCCCGTTTTGTCCAACCAAAATGTACATACTTTTTAACAAACATATTAAATTTAATTTTTTATGGTTTATTTAAAGATGGAAAAATATAACAGAAAAGTGATCAGCAGTCTTGGAATGAGGAAAGTATGCGCCAAGCAGTGGAAGAGGTTATGACGGAAGGCTTATAGGTTTATCAGCTTGGCGGTTATCTTCAGGCATCTAAAGAATTTGAGGTACCTCGAACAACTATTCAAGCCACAGTAGAAAAAAATTAAAAATGGAAGTCTCAAACAAGAAAATTCAGCAAAGAAAGGACTAGAGCGTCACAGACCGGTTTTCTCAGCGGAACAGGAGGAGGAGTTGGTGGAACACATTTTTTTAACAGAATCACGACTTTGGTTTTACTTTGAATAACTTTTGAAGTTTGGCTTCTCAGTAAGCTTAACGAATAGAGACAAAAAAATGACTGGTAAAGCTTGGTTATATAGTTTTCTAAAAAGACATCCAACCTTTAAACTTCGTACCCCTGAGCCAACATCTCTAGCTAGAGCCATGGGTTTTAATAGGCCTGCCTTAAAAAATTATTTTTGCTTGCTTACTGGCGTGCTTCAAAAATATAAAATATTACCTGAACGGATTTACAACTTTGACGAAACAAGTGCCAAAGAAAATATCGAAATGATTTATTGATCTAAAGAAAGCATACCACTCAATACCTAGAGTCAAATTATGGGAAGCAATGAATGATCTCGGAATCCGACAAACACTAATACAAGCAGTTAAAGCACTGTACAAAGACAACAAAGTAGCTATTAAATGTGAAAATAAAGCCTACAATCTATTTAAGACGACAAAAGGACTACTACAAGGCTGTGCTACCTCCCCTACTCTGTTTAAAATATTCTTGGAAAAGATACTCAAACCATGGAGGAGAAAGTGCGAAGGAATGGGCATACCAGTAAGAGACGAATACCTATACACCTTAAGTTTTGCCGACGATCAAGTAGTCATCGCACAAGATAAAGAAGATCTCAGCTTTATGTTCAGAAAACTAGAAGAAGAATATAAAAACAACGAAATGGAAATAAACTTAGAGAAAACCGAATACCTAATAACAGAAAACAAGGATATGAGAAACCTAGAGATATACGAGGGAAGACAAGTAAATGGAACAGATAAATTCAAGTATTTAGGAACCATAATATCAAACCAGGGAACAACAGAAGAAGATATAAACAACAGACTAAGACAAACAAGAAACTGTATAAGACAACTTAATTCAGTACTGTGGGATA